CCTTTAGCATAGCCTTAGAGGATGGTGGGAACTTGAGGCTTCCACTCATATTACACAGGACCTGAGAGCATCTTAGGAATGCTTCATTCTGACCATCCATTTACTTTTCACACTACTCCACAGACTTTTTTATGTGATGCCTATAGTTAAGTGTAGACACGGGCTGCAAAAGACCCAAATGTAAATAAGAATAAAGACTTACTCCAGCTGGCCCCATGGCTGAGTGGTTAAATTCGTGCTCTGTGCTTTGGAGGCCCAGGGTTTTGTTGGTTCGGATCCTGTGTGTGGATGTGGCACTGCTCATCAGGCCGGGCTGAGGCAGTGTCCCACGTAGCACAGCCAGAAGGACCTACAACTAGAATATGCAACTATGTATTGGGGGGCTTTGGGGAGAAGAAGAAGGAAAAAAAAAGACAGACTGACATTATTTTGTCAATTTACCTAAGACATTTTCCCTCTTCCTGGGATTTGCTCGCTTAACACTCTGCTTCCCCTGCTTCTGTTGCATCTCTTTGGTTTGCCTTTCTCCAATCTTTCAGAACCAGAGGGATAACTTTTGGCTTTGTCTTTCTCTCATCATATCCTATCTGTAGTCTAGATCTGCAAACCCTATGCCTGGTTGTCATAGGTAGAAAACGTTTCTTCTTTGAACTATCATTCAGAGAAGCAGTGATAGCATTGTCTTGGTGCTATCACCAACATAGGACTATACTCTGAGATCACTGGGTTTAGTTCTTGATATGTAAAGAAATTTGGAAAAAAATCCTCTTTCACCACAAAATTTGAATTTTTATGTGTATTTATGCAAAATCCTATTTTGAATGTCAATTTCCTTACATTTCTTTTATATCAATTCTAATTTCCCTTTCAGTTCATGTACCACTGCCCCCTAATACGTGTGTGCATGCACGTCTACACATGCACACACAGACACTTACAGGCAAAAGAATGAATCGGTGGACAGACCAAGGAGAAGTTCATTGGCATATGGAAAGAAAAAAAAGCCCATTGATTTTTAAAAAATTATATTTGTTCTAGTTTTAAGAATTTGCCTTGCATGTCTTAACAACTTTAGCAAGATCTTAGTAACCAACTAGTATAGTCAACAAGATTGCTTTCTGCTCCACTGCCATTTCTTTCCCCTGTCCGGGACTAATCTATTACAATTTACATTATTTTCCATATCCAGAGTCAACTCTGTGCCACTCTCCTAATCTCTCTACCTTCAACTTCCAAATGCTAGAGACCTGTCTTCTTACAGTTCTAAGCCCTTCTGGTCTCTACTTCCACCATTATTATTGCCACCTCGGCTCCTTAATCCTATTTACGTATATCATCTAACTCGAATTCTTCTAGCTCTTTTCCCTTTCTTTTAAGCCTCTCAGTGTCCGATTCCATGCCAGGAACTACTCTCAATTGATAGAGTCAACCATCATCTTTTAACTAGAGTTTTTTCCTACTGTCAGGAAGTCTTTAAGCAGTTGAAATCAGAGCTCTTATATGGAGGTGACCTTCTTGACGCCATCACTAATACAGGGAAAGGCTTTTCCCAATGTCTCCAACCAGTAAGAGGGACATGACAGAGAAATACTTTTTGCCATTGAGAACGGCAGAAAGTGGACATGGGAGTCTCTTCTAGTGACAGGGATTATCGTATGGAGAGTTGTTGAGCCACGCATCCTTTTTTACTGTTGGAGCTCTTATTAAAACCATAATATGGCAAATACATCTGGGTAGTTGGGGGTAGCTAATTTTGGTAGGTAATGGCCCTGAAACACCATTTGGAACACAATGTCTTGGGAAAAATATAAATTGACATCTAAACAAGCTTTTGGGATATAACCTTGCTGGGGACTGAATTATGCCCCCCCCACCAAATTCATATATTGAAGCCCTAACCCCTGATGTGATTGAATTTGACAGGGCTTTTAGGAGGTAATTCAAGTTAAATAAGATTATAAGAATGGGGTCCTAATTTGATAGGATTGGTGGCCTTATAAGAAGAGGAGGAGAGAGAGATCTGCCTTTCTCTCCACATGCACTCACTGAGGAAAAGCCATGTGAGGATATAGTGAGAAGGCAGCTGTCTACAAGCCAGGAAGAGAATTGAATCAGAATTTCAACCAGAAACCAAATTGGCTGCACCTTGATCTTGGACTTCTCAGCCTCCAAAACTGTGAGAAATAAATTTCTGTTGTTCAAGCCACCCAGGCTGTGGCATTTTGTTATGGCAGCTCGAACTAAGACAAACCTGTTCATAAATTCAGAATTTAAAAAATTACGCATTTATGAATAGATTATATCCACAAATCATGACCATTATTACCATTTAGGTACAAACTAAGTGTACATAAAACATAGGTTGAAGTGGTATTTAGATAAATATTTTTTATGCTTAAATATAAGTAAATAAATAGATGATAAATTCTATAGCTTCCTAAAGAGAACCTGTTTAGAGATAAGCCTAAACTTTGGATGTGGTCAAAACCTCAAGCATTCATTGAGCATCTATGTGCCCAACACTCTTTCAGTCAATAACCTTATCCTTATTATAAAAGTAACCCCCCATACTGTAACTCTTAGCACCTATTACATAGATGGTACCCGAAAAGTATTAGCTGAATTAAAAAAATAAGTATCTTGCTATTAAATGTTTATACACCAAAATTGATGGCACAGACACAAAGTATTATCTTTACAAGAATACCTTCAGGAAGATAGAACAATATGGACAGGCAGGTGGATGTCAGACAATGTTATTTGTGGCTATCTAATGCCCCTTAGTATTATGGTTAAAGATACATTGTTCTCAGCTGTTGGAATATTTTTCTAGTAAAATGTAGTATTTATAACTTTTTGGAAGGAAATTTTCTACTGCTTTTTTTTAAGAAAAAAAAGAAAGTAAGTTTGCAGTATAGTTCAAAGTCAAGTAAAATAGGATTTGGAATTGTATGTAGTTATGAGTCACCCATTAAGTCTTTTGGTATTTATTGATGTATTTTATGTTTGCTTGCCTTCCCAATGATTTTAAATCTGGTTAATGAGGACTTTCAATGGCATGTGTAGCTCTGTAATGGTTGAAAACTATGCAACACAATGTAAATGTTGGTTTTTATTTTTTAACTTAAGCAACCATCTTCCTCGAGGATATATCCATATGAAGCTCAAATAATTATATTGGCTCAGTAAGAAATAAAAATTTCAATTTAGAGGTCGAATGATTAGGTTCCAGTGTCCATTTGATGATTCCTTCACTTTTTAGCTGATAGTGTTGACCATGATGGTGTTGACTATGATGTGGGCTGAACATTCTTAGAAAGCAAGGATTATTTGAGGAGTGTGGTAGAAAGACATGTGCTGAGGGCTCTCAGACCATCTGAGTGGCCTCTCTAAGCCACAGTGTGCTCATTCAGTAAACACTTATTAGGCCTCTACTATGTGCTAGGAATTACAAAATGGGCATAATAGTAGCCAACATAGCAGTAGCTAACTTTTACTTATTACTCATTTAATCCTTACTAAAATCATATGCAGATGGTACTTTAAAAAGTTGCCATTTCACAGGTAAGGGAACCAAAGCACAGAGATGTTAATTAATTAATTACTCAATGTCATTCAGGTTTTAGTGGTGAAGCCATAATTTCAACCGGAGAGTTTGATTCCAGAAACTTCTCTCTTCACCTTTATAATTCAACATTATGCTGTTGTCGAGAGGATATTAACTTGCTATTTATTTGTTATTTATTGTTCTCATTTATTATTTACTTATTCATTGTTCTTGATAGCGTTTAAGTTGGTAAGGATCTCAAGGAAAGGTGTCTGAAAATTCTTGGGATACTGCATAGTGCATTGTGAATATATATTGCTGTTATTTATTGTATTGTTACATGTCATTAGGACTCTTTAATTTCATTCTTCCTTTTTTAAAGCAAATCTTTATTTTAAAGATTTCCCCTCTTTGACCCTTTTGGGAAGTCTTGATATTTGTACAGTCACAAACTTTTTATTGCATTGCCTGGTGCTTCAAGTAATTTAAATGTCCTAAAATTAAAGACTTCTACCATTTGATAATGTTACCTTTTTTCTATTATTAAATATTTTATACATAAAAATATGCAACATATGTGATAATTGTAAACCACTGCACTTTTCTTGTCCTTGTCTGTATTCTCTCATTGCATGCGTGAAAAAGAGTAAACAGCATTTTATAAGGGTAAATTCAAATTATTGGTTCATGCTTTGTTTTGATAATGATGCTCTCTAGTATAGAAGCAAACATGTATTTTAATGGCCTATCCAATTTTAATTATACCAGTTTGCATGAAGACCTGCTGCCAAACTGTACTAAATGTTAGAAATTTTAAACTTCTACTTTGAAAATCAAATTCCTCCTTGCAATTGACTGGTGTTAATGTTTTAAATGTGAGGACCACACACTCCTTCCATTTATTTAGAGAACCTGAACTGTGGTTGCTCCTTCCTACTCGCTGACTGCTACTGCTACCTGCCTAATAATTGTCTTTGGCTCCCTCTAAACCTGCAGCCAGAAAGGTATTTGAATTTTCCCCCTCTAGCACTTGCAAATCCGATTTTTATGTATAGCTAAGTGCTCTTAGCTTTTAGTCTATCTACTACTGGGGCCTGGTTTCTAGCAGGCCTGTAACTACACCAGATCCGGCCTATGTAATGCTGTTTGTGATGAGAAATCTAAACAGGGAATGGCAGTGAGGCATGGCAGGAATGTGTTTCCATTGGAGAAGTCAGTGTAGAGAAAAAGTATAAGCAAAGCTGTGTCCAGAAGGCCTTTTCAGCTGGCCAAGACGGAAGACTAATGTTATTGTACACAGGCTGTTACCCTGCCAGCTCTTCCTCACAGATTTGCTTTCTTTCTCTCTTCCCCTCACCCCAACTCCCCTCCCCCTCCCTCTCTCCTTCATCTATTCCTTCTCTTTCTCTTTCTTCCTCCCTCCTTCTTCGGGCTCTGCTTACTGTTTGCTCAGGTGGACAGTGACACCATTTGGAATGAGCTCCACTCGTCCGGTGCTGCACGCATGGCTGTTGGCTGTGTCATCGAGCTGGCTTCCAGAGTGGCCTCAGGAGAGCTGAAGGTGAGGTCTGGGTTGCATTAAGTGTGGGAAATCCAGAGAAGAAGCTGAAACAGAGATGTTGTTGTTTGGGAATTGTGGGGAGTGTGGTGTAGTAATAAAAAGAAAAGGGCGAGAGGAAGAGGGCAAGGAGATGGCCGCTAAGGTGTGATAATAACTAGACTGTAGGTAGGTAGTAGCTGATCCTGCTTGCAGGGCCTTCCTCTCTTTGGGGAAACTCGTGCTCAGGGCACTCTGGTGTGTTTTTAAGAGCATAGAAATAGTGAGTAAAGCTATGGTCCAGGTTAAAAACACCCTTAGCATATTCATATCTGTCATGCCCTCCTGGGATTCTCTTTTGAAGTGATTTAAAAAATATGATTACTGAGTACTATGTATAAGCTCAGAATACCACCCAGAGAGATGGGGGGCAGGGGAGAAAGGTAAATACCAGACGGGAAGGATTGGGAGGAAGAAGGAAATTGTTGATTAGAAGGGTAATGATCCAGAGTATGTTTTTCCACGAAAGAACTTCAAAAATGAGCTATGCTTTATTGTTCTTTTCTTTTTATGGTCTCTTCTTTTCTACATCATATGAAAAGAACAATGTCCAAATCCCAAGGTTTCCCAGTCTAAACAATTTATAAAAGCCAGAGACCGGACAGATGTTGACATTTTATTTGGTATTTTAACAGAGCTATTTAAAGGTATGCCATGTGTGTCTTGAATGCAGTTGCCCCAATAAACTTTGTTGGTGCTAACATAGCTTTTTAATGCACTAGTTCACACACTTCATAACGAAACCTGGGCAGTGATTGATTTGGTATTTTTATCAGTTGTGGGGCTTAAGGGAAATATATTGTGACCAAAAACATAAGCACCGTGAGTTTTGTTAATCTAAAATAAAATCTAATTAGGATTATTTTTCTTTGTCTAATGAATTTTTATTCAGTTACACCTGACTGTTCCACTTGTGATTAAAAATGCACAGTAGGAATGTGCACTTTACAGTGCATTGTTTGTCCCAGAAGTCTTTGCTTTTACTTTTTAAGAAGTCAGAACCTACAGAAATATAGTTTTGATGAGGTGAGCTGTATTAAAATATATATATATACATACATATGTATATACACATATGTATATATATACATGTGCATATTTATATGCCTTATGTGCAGTTGACATGATCAGCAGCAGGACATTTATTGCTCATCTTAGAGGGTTTTATGGGGCCATTAACATGGTGCTTACTACTCAGTCTTTACCTTTGGTAACAAGCTATTGAAAAGAGGAAAGGAATCAGCCTTATGGAGAGGTTTTGGCTGTCTCCCAGTGGCACTTTAGGAATAATCCTTCCTGTGTGGGTATGTCACTTGTAGCATTGGAATAAGTTGACATTTTAGAAGAATATTTGAGGGTCTTATTTTCAAAAGGATTTATAACACAGACAGATAACAGCCAGGCTACAATATTGTAATTTTTAAAAGATTAGGCTGGTACAGACTCACTTGATAACAAAGAAAAATGATTATGTTAGCATTTATAATTTCTAATTGTTTTGATTTTCAGAAGTTTAATCAATAATTCAGAAATATTCTCAAGTAGAATACCCACATATAATGCTCAAAATCATCATCGCTATTAGCCTCACAGTCTGCAGAATTGCCACATGTATGTATGAGGAGTGTTGAACAAAAACCTAATTCTACTTTTTGGGAAGTAGTCATTTAAAATAGCTAATTACAAACAAAGTGTCAACAACATATAGTATGGTCATGCTGACCACCAGCTGTACCAACATTGACTCTTTATGTTAAGAACAAGAATTCATACAAATGCTTTTTCCCCTTTGGTTGAGAAATAGCAGGTGTGGTTATAAAATAAAAGAGAAGAATAGAAAAGAAAGTGCCAGCCTAAGAATCAAGAAATCTTGGTCCAGGCTCTGGCACTTAAATGCTGTGTCATTTGCGGCAAATCATTTAACTTCTCTTGGCCTCAGTTTCTTGTTCTGCCCTGGTGCTGACATTCAGAGCTATTTGCAAATGAAAAGTTGATCTGATTCTCAATTATACATACTACAGCATATAAATAGAAGATATTCCAAAACTAATTTCAGTTTACTTTGGTGAATATTCCAGATTTTGCAGGTAGTTTATCTTTCTGATTGTTAAGCCCAAAGTGAAAGTCCAAGACAGGCAGGACCATCACAAAGGCACCAGTGCTGACAGGGTAAGAGACTGAACCTGTTGGTTGCTAACAATTTGGAGAAGGCTACGGGAATGCCATGTGGGAAAGGCAGCAGTTACAAATGGTTTGTGGCCACAGTGAAGAGCTGAGGTAGAGAGCCATGTTTAAGGACCTCTAGCTAATGAAAAATGTTACTTAGGGTCTATCTACTTGTCCCAGACTCCAATATGACAGGGCTGGTTCACCTGCCGGCCAGGAGCATTAACGCTCATGGCTGTGGAGATTTTCATTCAGATCTAGGAAGAAAATAGGGAAGCTTATTTGAGGTCACTAGTAAGTTATCCTCTGATAAAAGATGTAAAGAGAAAACTTTAGTGTTTTAGTGTTTCGTCTTTCATTTTCTACATCTACGTTCACTTCTCACATGTTCTACTCCATTCTCCCAGTAAATCAATAACTTAATGAAACAACAATGGCATATTATAATACTACATTTTCTGAGACCGCACTAATTTTACTTGGAAAAATAGAGAAGAATTAAGAACTTTATTTCATATAGGTTGGTCCTGGAAGAGTGCTGCACTGAGAGGTGGGAGACAGCTGGAAAGAGGTCACTGAACCCATAGAGGATGGGGACCTTGGAGATAAGAAATGTGTACAAAAAAGGGAAAATGCCAAAGACAAATTTGATTACCTAGAACATTTGCTTGATGCTGGACTTGATCATGACCACTCCTTCAACTTTTGACGGGTTCTGTCCTTTCTTCACCTTAGGGATACTGATGGGTTGAAGGAATTAGAAGAACGAACCAGGCACAGGGAGTGGGTCTCATGTTGATGCTTAAATAGACCACACGCAGCAAACTACAGCAGTAAATTGGTGTATTTTTGGCACAGAATGGACATACTCAGTGGAGTTCAGTGGAAATTATGGGAACTTTCAAGCTTTCCAGGTTTTTAACAAGATTTAAAAAAAAAAACCCATACGTGGAAATTTCTCTAATCTATAGATGCCCAAATTGGCTATTTCTCAGATTCTAGTACAAAGGAACGCAAATATTCTGAAAATACTGAAATGTTGGTTTATTGGAAACTGTAATTGGAAGAATAGATATCTCAAAATGGTCTTTTTGCTTTCTAGGACATTTAAGAAAGTATGTCTAGAAATAGAAATATCTCTAAAAGATGAGCATTATTTTTCCAAGTTATAAATGGTTCAGTACTTGCTTCAAAAATGATGCAAACTATCATGTTGTACACCTCAAGTATATACAATTTTTATTTGTCAATTATACCTCAGCAAATCCGGAAAAATAGTTTAACATTTATCAAGCTTTACTATAAGGATTCATTTTGATGCTATGTTGGCAATGCTATAATGTCACTATAAAAAGGTAAAAATTCCTTTAGCTATCTGGAAATTTTTGTCAAAAAAAACCCCTCACCTGATTATCTGAATGATGCATGGGTTTCTTTAATGTTTGAATGGATATTGATGTTATGTTGATAATAATACCTGCTATTCATTGAGTGTCTACTGTAGACTAGGCAGTTTACATGTAATTTGCTATTATTCTCACAAAGGCCTTTGAAGTAAGTACCACCAGTGGGATACCAGCTAAGAGACATCGAGTAACTTTTTAAGATCCTACAGACAGTTTAATAAATGGCAAAGCCTGTAAGTCTCACAATTCTCTCTTCTCTTTCAACTGCTCAGTGAGGGATTTCTTGTAGAGGAAGCACGAGTATGTAAGAAAAAAATGGTTAAAGTGATCTCTTTCAAATGGTCTAGATCCTTTCCGTTTTATTTCTATAAAACCTTTAATACAGGTACATACAAAAAAACCCCCAAAAAGTTATGTTAATAACTTACGAAGCACAATAATAAAATAAACACCTATGAGTCGTTCATTCAACTTAAGAAATACTACTTTGCTAACACTATGAAAGTCCTCTCAGTATTTATCTCATTCCTATCTTTTTGACACAGGAGTAATCATTAGTCTATTGTATTTTTAAAATTATTCCTTTCCCTTTTTAAAATAGTTTTAATGGTATGTTTGTGACCTTTATAAAAATGTAAGCTTATTGAATATATTATTCCTCAGATTTCTTTACTCCCACTTAAAATCATGTTATGAGGACTTTTCCTTATGAATTTATGTAGCTGTGATTCATTCATTTTCATTGCTGTAAAGTATTCCCTTGTTCATCATAATTTGTTTATTCGCTCTTCTTTTGGACATTTTAGTTGTTTCCAGGTTTTTGCTTTTTTGAAGAATGCTGCTAGGAACTTTCTTGAACATGCTTGCTGTTTCCAATATGGCATAATGGCAAGCTCCTAGCCATTAAATAATAAATAATAAATTTCAGTAAATAATGCAAAGTAGAATTCTAAAGTCATTTTGCCACAATGACATCATCAAAAATGGCAGCTTAAACTTCTGAAAATTCTTTTCTCCATAAAATCAATGACAAACTGGCAAAATTTGCAGGATTAAATTTTTAAGAACTCTGGAAATTAACCAAAAGCTTGCAACAACTCAGGAAGTACGTATTTAACCAAAACTGGCTGAGTCTTGGTAAGAACAGTGAACTTGACGGTGTTTTAATTCACCTTATTCTCATCTTACCCTTTCCAGCTCCCCAGTAGCCTTAACAAATAACAACCTGCATTCTCAGTGAAAACCAGTAAGTTGGCAGTCTCCAGAGGAGGCAGGATGGGGTTGGAGCTTCTTCAAAGCCCCATTCTCAGAGAATTGTCGTTATTTAGCCTGTCTGGTGCTTCAGTAGAAGACCCCACTTGCAAGGCTGTCTTTGTTTGATCTGACTTGGAG